AACACTGCGTGGTTGTGAATTTTATAGATACTGCAGATAGAGTAGCCATCTTTGAAGCTGACCATAAAGAGTGGCAGGAGAAGGCAAAAATGATGGCGATTCTAGGCGAAAGTGAGACAGAAATTTTATAGCTATATATTTGTTTAGAAAATATTTAGTTTCACATAAAGTATGCAGCAGCTACAGCCCACCAGAGTTTAAGGTCGTCACAGTGGAGGAGGGTCGTAGAAGTGTCACAAATGGAGGGAGGGAAAGGTATATTAATATAATCAATTCATAATTGTTAATTAACACGTTTCAACCTTGTAGAGTGTGTAGAATGTCACACTAAGGGGAAATCTGTCCAGTTGCAACAAAACCGTGACCGGCCTTACTATGGCCAGCGGAGATAAGGAAGGGGGAAATATAACAACTGTAATAAATATTTAAAATACTTATTTGTGTAAATATCCTATTATATTTTGACACATTTTCTTATATTTGCATTGACTATATATGCATGCATCTATACAACTTGAAAAATGAATATGTCTATCTATATATACGGCTTTACAACTTAAACAAACTATAAAGTCTGCATGTATATATATATATATATACTAATCAACATGCATTGCATGTGCATGTATGTATAAAACTCATGTGGTCACGAAATCCATTCCATGCACCATTCCAGTATAGTTCAGTAGTCCCCCCAATCCAGTGTTTACAGACGCCCCATATAGCTACAGGATATAAATATACTAGCTATATATGTTTTACAATAATATACATAACATGTGATATGTTGATCACCATTCATCATAATTATTATACATACAGTACCACTATCAATGATAACTTTGTAGCGATGATATCAGGAGCAATAGTCATCCAATCTTTATGAAGCCAATCCAAAGGTTGTCATTGTTTCCTGAGAGAGCATCATACACCAACTACTTATTTCATTAAACTAAACTGTTTCAAATAGGACAGTATTGCTATTATACAGATGTATGTCCATTATGGACATTAAAAAACTAAAGAAATAAGATTAATAAAAATTGTTAATTTAAAATGGGAGAATAAGGACCTTAAAACATGTAGAAACGAGATAGGTACTTATAGTGACAATGCAATCGCCAAAAA